TTATTTATTAAAAAGTAATTTTCTAAAATTGCTTATAATTGATTTGAATCTAAAAAATGTTCTTCAAATTTTAAGCTAAATATATTTTAGATTCATCGAATTTTATTATTTATTTATTTATGTTAGCTAAAATTAAAAATATCAGCACATATTGCATTTAAAATGCTTTTAAAATTCGCATTCATCCAGCTAAAATCCATATCATATATGCTACAATTTCCTTATCAGCAGTTATTACTTCCTATTAACTGCCACGCTTCGGTTTGTTTATTATCAACAGCGGGCATAAACAACATTTGTTGCTGAATTCCGCCGGCTTTAGGGAAATTGTTGAGTCTGCGCACTGCCTCGAAGAGTAACACAATGTTGTTTTTCGGAGTTCGGAGTTCTTCAAATTCCGTTGCTCTCAGTGCTGACAAATCACAAAATCCGGAGCGCATTTCTATACTCAGAGAGCGAGAGAGAGAGAGTAAGATAGATTTTGCTGCAAAAGTAACGAGTGGAAATTTTGAAAATATGTGGCTGATGAAAAAACCGTTAGATGCCAATACATGCACTATAGCTTGAGTAATATCTTGAAATAAATTTAAATAAAAATACAGAAAACTGAAAATAATTAGATAAATTAAGTTAAAATTGGAGAAATAAATTTTTTTTAATAAATCTTATAATGGTTAAAGGTATATTATGCAAATTTATTGTTCAAAAGTTTTAAATCTTTTAATGATATATTTAAAATTAAATTTTTGCAATAAAATGGAAATTTTCATTTTTTTTTAATAATTTTTGTATTAAAATAAATATTAGTATTTTTTGTTTGAACAAAATATACAAAATAATATTTGGTGTATTCATAAATTGTAAAAATTTTAAAAATAATTTTTCTGAATTTTATAAATTTTTAAAAATATTTAAAAATACGATTATATTGATTGGTATTTTCTATTAAATTTTATAATTGCAGTGTTTTTAACGGACTGCATTTTCATAGTAATTCTAGTTTATACAATATTAAATATTTCATTTATATTAAATGTATAAGTTCTGCTTTCAGCTTAAAAATGTGTCTTAAAGTAAAAATACATTACAACTCCAGCAAAAACAAATTTAATCACCTGCACTAGGTAAACTCTCAATCAATCTCAAACTTTTTCTGTAGCTTTAGCTTCACTTCGAATAGCACTCTTTTCTAGCCATTTCACATCAGCTTAGAGCCCCGCTTTCAGTTTGTCGCCCTCAATGTCCCATTCAGTAATTGATTCGATTGATATAGCCACATAGTTGGCCCAGTTAATTGGAATCTAATGTCATTTCCATTATGTCCAGCACAAGAACCACAATCAAAATTAGCCCCAGCGGCTGTGGTTGCGTTTTAAAGCCCCACGAACGAGCCGAGCCAAGCTAATCAGAGTTCCCCTTGGCCCACTACAAAGTGCTGAGGGGAGTGTGGAGAGGGTGTACACCTGCCTGGAGCTACATAAACAACAATTAAAACGTTACAAATTACACGTACAAACACATCCTTCAAGGCGACAGAGTCGAAGGGAGAGCTCCATGAGCTATGCACATTTCTCAGGGATTTTCTACTTCTTTTCTATTTTGTTCTGCTCTGCTCTGCTCTGCTTTGCTTTTCTTTTCATGTTGCTCGTCTATTTTCTTCAATTATTTCCGATTATTGCAGGTAGAAACTTCAAATCCACATTAATTGCTATTTTACGTAGCTCGAGTCCCCGCGCCTCATCCAGGCACCAGCCTCCCTCCCCTCCCCTGGGTTCAGTGGCTTTAAAGTCGTGGCAGGAAAAATAACAAACCTGAGGTCAGGAACTGATTTTCCATTCATTTTCTTTACTTCGACTACATTTTTGTTTTGCTCTTGCGCTGCTTTTGCTTTCCTTCAGCTATGACTTGGGCTGCAAGAGCGAAAAGATAGAGAAAAATTACAGTGGACGACCCAGTCAAGCAAGTTCCATATACGAGAGGGTGGGCAAGCGCAAGGTAGCAGCAGGGGTTGTTAGAGGGCGCAGGAGCGGGGGCCGGAATGATAAACTGCAATTGAAGGACGTTGACTGAATGATAAATTACACTTGACAATGGCCGTTGGCAAACTCTGTGAGTGTGAGTTAGCGTGTGTGTGTGTGTGCGTTGTTGTTGTTGGTGTTTTAGCTGCGTAACGTGTGTATAGCATGTCCTGTCTGCAGCAGTCAACAGGAGCTGTTGCTGGCGTCCTGTCATAAGTTTACTTTTAATACAAAAGTTTTGCCCACTGTTGAAAAGTGATCACAATGATAATTACACAGGGCGCTCTGCTCGGCAGGGCAGGGGGTGTCGAGCTAAGCACCCTCCAAGATTTATGTGGCGGCATGTGCTGGTCAGCTAAACAGCAGCAGCAGCAGCAGCAGCAGCAGCAGCAGGCTCTACTGCGAAGGAGCAGAAAAAAGCCTGAAGTATGGCAGGCGAGTGTCGAGTGTGTTTTTGTCAGCTAAACAGGGGACCCACTTGAGGGGCAGTCAAGAGTTGGGGCCTGGGGTAATTATGATGCCTCGCTGCCTGGCTGGGAGCTGATGGGAGCCTTAGCCCAGTTTTCACTCATTAAGGATATCCGTGCAGGAAAACAATGCCAAACTCGAAACTTGGCTGCGAGACACAAAAGCCGTTACAATATTACCGCAGCCAAACACAAGAGGGCAACGCACACACACACACACACACACACACAGGCACCCACACACACACAGCCGCAATTTGCAACGCCTCCATTTCATGGAGCCTGGCTTTTAATGCATTTAGTGGCTGCGGTTTTTGCGCTCACTGTGTTTGCTCTTTGGCGCGCCAGAACAACAAAGCAGCACACGGACACACACACCCACACTCACACACCCTCACACACACACAAACAAAAACAATACAAATTTATTTTTGCAACCAAGCTCAGCTGCGGCAACTCCCCTCTCGCCCCGCCCCCTACCCATTCTGTGCGCACAGCCGGCGGCTGAGAACTTGAGCACGGAAGTTCCGGATTCGCAATTTCGCCTCACGGCCTCAAACTTTGCTCTGCGGGCGCTCTACAGGGTATCTAGCGAGTGAGGCGGGCCGAGGCGGGGCAGGGGAGAGTCAAGTAGAGATGCCTGTGCACTGGGCGGTAAGCCCAAAGCGTGTTAATTCGTTTGCTTTGCTATTTATGTTTTATTTTATTTTATTTTGCTTTGTTTTTTTGTTCTCTGCACTTCATAATTTCATTTAATTTTTTCTTTCATTTTTTTTTTTTTTTTTTTTTTTTGGTGTTTTCCGAATTAAAAGTTCTTATTCAAATTAAGTAGAGCCAGAGCTTTGCAAATTATGCCAAAAACTTGCAAGTTTCTTGATAAACCAAATTAAAAACTACAAAAAAATATGTGAACAGGCAACAAGTTTTGATGAGATTTTCGGTGACAGAAGGAGAGATCTTGGAGAGAGAGGGAGAGAGAAAGACTTTTGTAATAGTTGTGTACAAATGGTACTACATATTTAAAGAGTTGAAATTTTATGAAATTTATTTCGAATTATTTGTGCTGCCTTTTTAATTTATTTATTTATTATTAAGGAA